ACCCAACGTCCTTACCCAGCGGTCTCAACCCAGCATTTGGGTTGAAAAAACAACCCAGCATTTTTTAGAGTGTATGCTGTCTGAGCTGCGGCTTTTTGCGTGCGCACAGAAATGGTCTATCACAGCACGCAAGTACCGCACTGAAATCTCTTTCGCGCTGTCTCACGCTTGAATGGCTTAAAACACTTTAATGTTTAAACTGACAATGCTTAAAACATGTGAGAATGATAAACTTTCTTGAGGAAGCAGCACTAGCCCTATCGTTCAGATAGGTGATTAGTTAAACACTGGAGCATCCTGTTAACCGCAGGTAACATTAAGCATATTGTATTCGCAGGTCAACATAAAATATCTTACGTACCACTACTGGTGAACAAGCCAGTGTAATGTAAATATGTCTGAAAGGTCTGCAAGCGATCTCGTCACACCCCTAGTACTTAAGGCTGTATGAGGCCCTCCTTTTGAGCTGCTCAAAACGCCCAGTAAATATTATAAAATATATCAATTTTATATGAAGAAATATTATCTGAACAGTTTCATTTTTATATTTATTTAAATCTGGCTCACAATTTTTGAAATTTTTAAAAATTTTGAAAAGCTGGCTTGTACTTATTAAACATTTAGTAATACTTCTCACTACAAAACCTGTGCCTGTAAGGTTTTATAATTAGTACTTGGATAATAAAAGTACCCAATTCAAATGGAAAAATTTTGAAAAGCTGGCTTGTACTTATTAAACATTTAGTAATACTTCTCACTACAAAACCTGTGCCTGTAATGTTTTATAATTAGTACTTGGATAATAAAAGTACCCAATTCAAATGAATGCATCAAAATGTTTATACTTTCTACTGTTTTCTCAAGTTGCACATGTTTTTTCCTTTCACATTTAAAAAAAAAACTTTTTTTTTACTAAACATTTTTACTTTAATTTTAGACTTGATAGAAGAGAACAAGGAGATTGAAGAACTGATTAAAGAGGGGGAGAACCATCATGTCAAAACTGAAGAAACACCCTGGAGATCCTCATTGACAAGAAGAGACAAAACATGGCCTGAGTGTGAAAAGAGTCTCTCATGCAAGCAAAATGTTGATATTCACATAAAATGTCATCTTGAAGGGAAGCTGTACACATGTGATCAATGTGAAAAGACTTTCACAATAAAAGGAAACCTTACAAAACACATGAATATCCACACTGGAGAGAAGCCGTACACATGTGATCAGTGTGAAAAGACATTCACAGTAAAAAAATACCTTACAAAACACATGAAAATCCACACTGAAGAGAAGCCGTACACATGTGATCAGTGTGGGAAGAGTTTCACACAAAAAGGATACCTTGATGCACACCTAAAAACCCACAATGGAGAGAAGCCGTACACATGTGATCAGTGTGGGAAGAGTTTCATACATAAAGGATACCTTGATGCACACCTAAAAACCCACACTGGAGAGAAGCCATACACATGTGATCGGTGTGGGAAGAGTTTCAGACAAAAAGGAGCCCTTAATGTACACATGAGGATCCACACTGGAGAGAAGCCGTACACATGTAATCAGTGTGGGAAGAGTTTCAGGAAATGTGATGTTTTTAAAAAACATCTGCTTACTCATTCTAGAGAGAGACTAGAAAACTGTGACCAAAGCAGTGGAACATTTCTAAAGGACCGTCTGAAAGCTCATATGAAGGAGAAGCCTTACATATGTTATTTATGTGGAAATAGTTTTAGTCAGGTGGTTGCATTAAAGATACACCAGAAAAGACACAGCGGTGTGAAGGTTCATGCTTGCTCTAAGTGTGGGAAGACTTTTTTTACATATGGTGCGATGAAAGTGCACCAGACAGTTCACACTACAGAAACACCTTACAAGTGCTCACACTGTGACAAGAGCTTCAAACGGTCAGACTACCTGAGAATACATGAGAGGATCCACACTGGAGAGAAGCCGTATGCATGCGATCAATGTGGGAAGAGCTTCAGACTAAAAGAAATGCTTAATCGACACATGGATATCCACAATGGAGAGAAGCCACACACATGTGATCAATGTGGAAAGAATTTCAGACAAAAAAGGAACCTTATCAAACACATGAAAAGACACACTGGAGAGAAGCAACACACATGTGATCAGTGCGGGAAGGGTTTCTTAGACAAAGGAAACCTTAAAGACCACATGAATATCCACACTGGAGAAAAGCCATACTCATGTGATCAGTGTGGCAGGAGTTTCGCACATAAAGGAAACCTTATCAAACACATGAAAAGACACACTGGGGAGAAGCCACACACATGTGATCAGTGCGGGAAGAGTTTTGCAGAAAAGGGAACCCTTAATGATCACATGAGGATCCACACTGGAGAGAAACCATACACATGTGATCAGTGTGGGAGGAGTTTCACACAAAGAGGAAACCTTATTGCACACAAGAAAACCCACACTGGAGAGAAACCATACACATGTGATCAGTGTGGGAGGAGTTTCACACAAAGAGGAAACCTTATTGCACACAAGAAAACCCACACTGGAGAGAAACCATACACATGTGATCAGTGTGGGAGGAGTTTCACACAAAGAGGAAACCTTATTGCACACAAGAAAACCCACACTGGAGAGAAACCATACACATGTGATCAGTGTGGGAGGAGTTTCACACAAAGAGGAAACCTTATTGCACACAAGAAAACCCACAGTGGAGAGAAGCCATATACCTGTGATCAGTGTGGGAAGAATTTCAAAAGAAAAGAAAGCCTTCATGATCACATGAGGATCCACACTGGAGAGAAGCCGTACAACTGCCATTCATGTGGGAAGAGATTCACTCAATTATATTCTTTAATCTGTCATAAATTACATGTCTGCATGTCTGAAATTACAGTAAGTAGATGAAGTTCTGATCCTGTACTTCCAGGTGCTAGGTAGGGCTGCATCAAGTAATTATTTTGCTAATCGATTAATCAGAGATTATTAGAATGATTAATCAACTATTCGTTGATTATTTCACAGATTAATCAGGATCTTTATTAATTATTTGGCTTGTGGAGTTTGTTAAAATGCTGAGTTACACCCATTCTAACTAATAAATAAAACAAGGAAATCACTTCAGTTTTTGAAAATGTCTTTAATATATTTTGAGTAAACTGAATTATTATCCTCTTCAGGTTTTCTGTCCTCCTCAGAAGTCATCAATACACCAACTTTGCTCAGAACTGAAACACAAAAATAAAAGGGCATTTCACAACACATAGGAGGCTAAAATATTCATCTATAAACTATTGTTACTTAGATCCCCTTGTGAGTACTGTGGCCGGCAATCTTGAGAACGCTGAGGCTTGCGAGCTTGTCTGAGTTAATTGTAAAATTTAAGACAAAAATTTTTTCAGAGATGAAGGCATACGTGTTATATTTTGTGTGTGTATGTATGTAAATGAATCTCTTAACACTAAATGCCAATAATGTGGCCACTGGGAGACCACAGACAGTTGTTTATTCATTGCAATGCATTAGGCCTAATAGAAAGCCAGTTAATGTAAAGATTTTTAATAGTACTATTAATAGCATTAATAGTATTTTCGTGCCATGACCATGGGGGCCGGAACATGTGCAACATGCGCACTTACACTTAATTTTATTTACCGTATTGGCCCGAATATAAGACGACCCTGATTAT